ATACCCACCCAAGCTTAATGTAAACCCCTACTGCTTAAATTATCAAATAAAAATATTTCTGGTCTTGATTGTGTCTCGCATATCATACGGTCCCAAAAGGAACCGACCTGGCTCTTCTCTTTCTCCACCATGAAGACATGTGCTCCCCCGAAGAAGAGAAGGCGCGCGAGGAGGTGAGCGGTGACTGTCTGGCCTGCAGGGTCAGTGGACTGGCTGCTGCAGAGCTGGGTGGCGGGTCCGGCAGCCAATACCAACACAGATGGGACCCATTTCCGAGGGAGCGCCGCCTGCCCCCGCACCCCCTCAGCTCCCACAGCCTACAGAGTGTGATCATCCGAGAGCCGCACAGCTCTCGGAACGAAGCAAAAACAAAAGCCTGTTGAAAGGCACAGCTCTTCCCAGAAAAGGTTTATCATACATGTGCCTGCATTGGCCGATTCTAGGCTCCTCTTGAGACACATGAAAACTGAATCGCCTGCTCACTGTGCCACATGGCACACTGCAGTTCCAGGCTGAGAAGTCCTGCCCTCCCACAAAGCACCCCCACCCACAGAGCCCTCCCCAAGCTCTAGCAGCCACACTGAAGGGACTCCTGGTACACTGGGGACAAAACACAGACATTCAAACATTCCCTTTGTGGACAGAAGTGTCATCAGCGTTAGGAGATAGCCTTTCTGATGTGCTCCCTGACCTTGGGAAGTCATCAGCATGCTCCTATGCCTCACGACAACATAAATGCAATCCTCAAAAGGTTAGAAATTAGTTTAATTAAAACCATGTCAAAATGAGGCATTGCTGTTCAATTGATACAAAGTTTCAGTTATGCGAGATGAATAAATTTTAGAGATCTTCTAGAAAAAGAGGAATGCCAAGAAACAGCCATTAAGAACTGCATAGAGCAACGTCAGGCACCTAAAGCAGTAACAGATAAAAGGGAACTCATTTCTTACTGTTTACAACACACATAGCTGTGCTGAAAGGCAGTGTTCCTCAATACACGCCACAGAAGACATAGAAATGCAGTAGCGGCTAAAAAGGATGAGAAGTGACACCTGGCTGGAGTACCAAAAATCTTACACTAATACAAAAACTCCTTCAGTCATTTATAGCTGCTTTCAGGAAGATTCCCAAGTTCTCTGCATGGCCCACAGGCCCTTCCCAATTGAACCCCTGCAGGGCGCCAGCCTCATCTGCAGATGCCGGCCCAACCCAGGTTACCAGGCCACACAGAGGCGTTTGCAATGCTCCAGTCCATCCAGGCCTTTATTTGGCTTTGCCTCAATTTGTGGTACATCCTCTGCTTAGCACAGCTTCCTACTTATTCCATCTTTTTCCTACTATAAGTTAATTCTCTTGAAAGTCAATTTGCCAACAGCAAATGAACAACTGGCCAAAAACCAATTCACCAAAGGTAAACTTAATTTACTGAGTGACTGGCTTCCTTACTGAATAATGAATTTGATGAAAACCCATCAAAAAATACAGTAGAACTATCTGAAGCAGTTTCCACTTCCTGACTTGCTGGACTGACAGCTGTTCTTCATTCCCTCTGCAAAACATGCTGACATCCAGAAAAGGCTAAATATTCGTGGTCAGAGGCTTCTCTCAGTACCTAGAAATAGTCCCATCAGGTGGCCGTACGTTTACTGAGCCAGCTTTCTCCTTTCAGTTTACACTTATCACTGTAACTATTTACGTTGACTTGATTAAGGATTACATAAATAACCAGGGAAAAAATGAGTGCAAACAGAAAGCTGACAATCCTCTGAGATGCTTTAGAAAGGTTCAGTGAAGACACACTGCAAAACAAGAAAAAAGAAAAAGTTGGGGGTGGGAAGTCGGCTATGAAAGAAGAGCAGAACACTCGTGAAATTCCCGGGGCTCCGACTCAGATTGTTTCAGTGTCTAGATTTACTCCACTTTAAGAAAAGAAAAACTGGAAATGGTCAATGATATATAGATTATTCAGAAAAGACAAGAAGAATCTATGCACAGCCCTGTAAGCCAAGAACATAGGCTCTTGGCCCTACATCAAAAATCTTAGTTTTATAGCAAGTGACAGCGTGGCCTGGAGGCTGAGGGAAGAACCTCTCCACCATGGGTAAGGCACCAGCAGGGAGAGGTCAGCCACTGGCCAAACTCCTGCTCAGAAATGCCTTGTTTAAACTTAAAATATTTAAGGCATACGTACACCTTTTTTTTTAAATACAATTTCTCCCTTTAACCAGCATTTCTGATTAACCAACTACGGGTCAGAGGGCTTGCCACACACCTGAGGCCAGGGCAGCTTGCCATGTTGCAGCCCAAGGCAGGGGCAGAGCAAAGGCTGGGAGAGTGAGAGACAAGGAGGGAACTGGGAGAAAAGAGCACGAGGAGCGAGTGAATGATGAACTGTATTTGAGAAAAATTCTATGGAAATGGATTGACTAGTCAGTGGTCAAAAATGGTTGAAAATATTGACCATTCAGTGAGTATTCTGTCTGAAATTGGCACTGAAACTGATACCACTCCATCTGGACCGGGACACCCGGGACATGTCCAGGCCAGTCAGCATGCCTGCTCCTCTGTGCTTCCAGGTGTCCGCGTTTCTCTTCAGTCCTGAAACACCTCTCCCGGCTGGGCACGTGACTATGAGGTACAAGACGCAGCACACTCGGCCGTGCCACCGGGGGGCCACGGTCCAGACAGACTTAGGAAGGATGGAGAAGGTAAACCAGAGGGAGAGATCCAGAAAACTGACGACCTACTGATTCCTCATCTAGCTCCTAATCTTTTTGATAAACAATATATCAATAAATGGGATTAATATTGTTGACATATACTCCTGGACTATAATTTTGCATTATAACTGAAAACAGCAAATGAGACAATGAAAAAAATATATATGTTAAAAACAAAAACAGCGCCTGAAAATCATATGTTCAATATGCCCTCAAGTGTGAGAAGATTAAATATATTAAACAGAAAAAATAATGCAAGACAAGTGTGATACAAATATATAATTTAAATGTTCCTAGTAGCCACAGAAATTGCAGAAATTGGTTATATTAACGTGTCTTCTTTAACTCATCATATCCAAATCGTATAATTCAACATACTATCAATGTGAAAACTACTAAGAAGATACTTTACATCCTTTTTTTCACAGGAAGCCTTCCAAGTCCAGCATGTATTTGGCCCTGATAACGCGTCCCAATTTGAGCTATCCACACTGCCAGCACTGGACGGCACAGATGCAGAAAGACCAGAGAACAGCAGCTCTCTCACAAAGAAGGGAACACAGATGGCTTTTATTTACTCTTAGGGTTTGTTCCCCTATTTTCTACAGTGATCTTGGTAAAAATGCAGCATCTAAAGCCCCATGCAGACCAAGAGGATCAGACTGTTCGTTTTAGCAAGATCCCCAGGGGATTCCTGTGGCCACGAAAGCCCATGGAGCACTGCCCTAGACAGTGACAGCCAGCTCCTGCGTGGGGCTGAATGCAGGCGAGGCGTTGGTTCTGAGCGCTGGGGATGGATCAGCTCTCTAATCTTCATGGTAGTCCTATTAAGGACGTACTGCTATCACCCTCTTTAGAAATGAGGCACGTGGGGCACAGAGAGGTTAGTATGAAGTCATGCAAGTGGGAGAGCTGATCTGGCTCAGACAGGCTTCCCCAGTGGGGGAGGCATGTTGTGTCGGCTTTGCTACCACACCTGCCAACAGAGTACTGCGAGGAGACACTGAATCTGTAAGCAAAAGAATGTATTATAATATTTGCCTTTCCCACTTACTACATGACCTTGAGCAAATCACATACATTCACTGAACCTACATCTCCTTTCTGGAAAATGGGTATAGTGTATACTGGAAAAAGTTTTGGGGACTTGTGACAATTTGAAAAACCATTTCATTTTCTGTAGCTGACTTTATTGTAGAATATAGCATATAATACATATGACACACAATGTGTTCACCGACTGTTTATGCTATCAGGAAGCCTTCAGTCAAAAGCAGGCTATTAGTAGTTAAGTTTTTGGGGAGTCAAAAGTTATACTCGGATTTTCAACTGCATGAGGAATCCCTACCCATAGCCCCTACTTTGTTCAAGGGTCAGCTGTACACAGTCACATGTTTAGAGATATTTTAGGGGTCCTTTTTGGTTAAGCAATTATAAATGGAAAACAAGAGCATGACCTGTGAAACGTGGTAGGAACCCAATCAGCCCCAACAAAAATGATAATTGTTGAGTATTCAGTGCACATCTGCCTCTTAGGCTGGGACACAGACATGCAGGAAAAGTTTGAAACACGGCCCTGCTTTCCTACAGTTCTGATCCTGGTGGGAAGAAAACTGATGAATCATACAGAAAGCTAACATGAGAAAGAGAATTGCTAAGTAACAGATTTTGCTCTGATTTTGAATGGAAGTTTAATTTCCCTGAGTAAGCAAATTAAAAAGCAGAAAAGGCAGAAAAAGCTGAATGAAACATGAAAATCTGCTCTGTAAGTATCCGCAGAGGGCAAAAATGCCAAAAGAACTCCAGAACAAATTTTGAATGTGTAAAATCAAATAAAATACACATTCCTGGAGTATATACATATTTTTCTTCTGTGATAGAAAAACATTTCTTTTTTATCCCAGAAGTATAACAATGAATATTAAAGTTTCAGACGAAGTAATCCAAATTCAGAACTAACACAGAAGAGGGTCAGGTCCCCAGGCTCTACGTCACCATGTTAGCTGCTAAAGCCTCTGGTTTTTCCTTTTTAATCTGACTTAAGAACAGATTTCCACGGACCTGTAGCTTCAGCGATTTTCAAAGCAACACCAGCCTCCTCAGGGAGGCTACATTCACGGTCTGCCACTTAGGTGTTACTACCAGCCCTGAAAGCAGTGAAAGGACAGCCATGAGCAAACAAGGCCTCCTTTCTTCCAGAACTGGGCTTTCGTCACCCGCCCCAAGCCATAAGAATCCAAGGTGTGCAGTTTCTTGCTGGGATGGGGGACTCTGACTCACCAGCCATGGCTGAGGGATCTCGGGCAGAGGCATCTGCGGGGGAGCTGGCAGGCTGTTGGGCGTCTCCAGCTTCTGAGCATGATCTTTCACTTCGAAACCTGTAAAATTAACCAAAACCATAGAGTGGGGTGAGGAGGAGGTTGAGGATGGCACTGCTAAGAGCTCCTGCTTCCTCAGCCCCACACGGAGCACTTCCCAAATATTCTCTCTAATCCTTTACAACAATCCTGCAAGGTAGGTATTATTCTTCCCATTTGATCCATTTGATAGGTGAAGAATCTGTGGCTAAAAAAAGAAAAAAGAAAAAGATTAAAGGACTAATGGAAATACTAACAGGGAGAAATGATGGCGCTGCATTCTTCCCATGCCACACCCCTCAGAGGCCAGTCGCTTCACATGGACTTCAGCTCAGGTTGGCACCTACCCGTGGACTAAGGGCACAGTCTCAGAGACCAGCCCCGGCACCACCTTGGGCCTCGTTCCGCTCACGTGCAGTCTGCTACCAGATCCTTCAGCCCATCACCCAGACTGATGAGGTGTGCTTTCCAGGATGCAAACCTAATCGTGTCGTGTCAGGCTTCAAGCACCAGAGCCCAGTGAACTGAATGGTATGTGAACGGGATCTCAATAAAGCTGTTCAGAAAGGAATCCCTGCATCTCCTCTCCCACAGAGCTGTCTGGATCCTAACATGCCCATAACTCCAAGACCTGCCCTGGCCCACCTCTCCACTCTCTCACTTGGACCCTCCCCTTAGGTGTCCCTACAACGGTACTGGCAAGCTTATCACTACCTGCTTTTCTGTCTTACCCACTGTGCACAAAGAGTTAGCTTGGCTGGCCAGAGGCTGCTGTCTTTACAAAGGCCTGCTTGCAGGGTTGGCCCTTGGCCAGCAGTTGTGGATTTCCGAAGTGTTCCCATCATCTTGAATCTATCAGGTTGGTTAACCATGCATAAATTGTGCAAACAATGTGGATTATGCCAAACACCTGCTGTGATGGTTAATTTTATACATCAACCTGACTGGGCTAAGGGACACCTACATAGCTGGTAAAATATCATTTTTGGATGTATCTGTGAGGGTGTTTCTGGAAGAGATTAGCATTTGAACTAGTGAACTGAGTGTAGTAGATGGCGCTCCCCCAAAGGGGTGGGCACCATGCAATACCCTGAGGGCCTCAATAAGACAAAAAGGCAGGGGAGGGTGAATTCGCTCTCTCTGCTTGCACTGAGACATCCATCTTCTCTTCCCTGGATGTTGGCCCTCCTGGTTCTCAAGATTTTGGACTCAGGTGGAGACTTAGGCCATCAGTGCCCTGATTCTCAGACCTTCAGGTCACCACTCTCCTGGTTTCCCAGCCTGCAGATGGCAGATGTGGAATTTCCCAGTCTCCGTAACTGTACAAGCCAGTTCCTGCATTAAGTCTCCTCTTTATCTATACACCCATCCACCCATCCATCCATCCTGTTGTTTCTGTTTCTCTGGAGAACCTGACTAATAAACCTGCTTTTCTTGGGAGTCTGGACTTTTGGTATATGCCAGCAGCCCAATAAAATCCCGAGGCACTGAGTCTCTAGCGAGCCCCACTGAATGGCAACATTACACCCAGGATGCTGCATTTTTGTTGCGGAGGAAAGAGTGCGGAGGAAAGAGGGGGAGCACGGGAAGCCTGCACACAGATTCCTCCAGACCTGCCGGTATCTTCCCCTCACAACCTGGCTGCATATCCCTACTACCGTTAGAACAAATCCTGAGCATGAGAAAGTCCGACCACACGCTGAGTCCATCTAGTGAGCCCATGAACGGTGGGGCGCTCTCGGGGGCTCCAGCACACCCATCGCTGTAAGCACCTTAAAGCTTTGCCTTCCTATGCCTAGGGAGATGGGAGTTGTGGAGATGGATGGTGGTGATGATTACACACATGACCCTGGCGTGTGGTTAGGCCTTCTACGATGGGTCGACAAGTAAACAAATTCATGCATCAATGAACAAACACGTGCACTGTACGCAGACGGAATTAAAGATGAGTGAGAGGCCAGAAGAGAGCAGAGGGAGAGAGGCCAGGTGTCTGAAGGGGCCGCACCTTTGGGTGGCTGCATCCTCAGCAGCATGTCAGTGATTGCCGCCTTCTTTTCTCGGACACTTGACGTCAGATACTCATGGTCCAGGAGTTCAAGGAACAGACGAAGTTCGACTATTAACTCTTCCATCGCTGAAAACACAGCAGAGAGGAAGAGTGCCGTTAGACCCTCTGATTTATGGCCGTCAAAATATAAATGCCAAGCTTCACTCAAAGCATTTCATGCTAGCTTGATTGGATATAGTATTTCACTGCAAAAAACAGGTTGGCTGACATCAGGTTGATGAGAAGATTCATGTGCCATCTTCTAGACAAATGCCGAACCCTGCACTTTTGCTCTGAGGCAGCAATAGTCATGCAGGAGGAGCTCCAATGCCAGGCTGCCAACTGATGGAGTCATGACCCCAAAGCCTGACATCACTGTTTGGTGTCGACTGCATATTAAGTTTCAATGTCAGGAAGAAGACGGGGATTTAAAATGCCAAATAGTTTTCAAATAACCACTGGGACATGGCTCAGAAATTCAACACCCAACTCTGGCTGCATCCCAGGATGACTGTGAGCATGTTTGTGCAGTTACAACAGAGATGCACGTGCCGAAGAGAACTTAAAATACAAGCGCAGGCACTGGCCTACAGATATACCCTCATAAACAAGAGCTCTTTGGGGTCTTCAGTACGTATCTTGAGGCTTCTTTAAGCAAAAAAGTCGGAGAACCACTGGTCTACGGGATTCTTTCCAAATCTACTTTCTACAAGTGTACAACACCCTCCAGGATTAAAGATCCTAACTGAGGCCCCCCTTACAGAACTACCACAGCTCTGCTCATTTCAGGTAAGTGGGCAGAGAATTGGCTAATGAATTCGAAGTAGGCAAGGTGTATCCCTGAGCTGCTCACTTTTCCTAATTGGGCAATTTCTCTCTATGAAATGAAGAGGTAGGATTCAGTAAGCCCATAAGGTCCTTTTTATTAGTGAAACAACTTCTTTGATGATTCTAAGTAGAAAACAAACTCAGCTATATTTTAAAAAATGATGGCTGCTAGCATTATTCATAATAACCAAATGGTAGAAACAACACAAATGTCCATTGATGGATGAATAGACAAATAAAGTGTGGGATATATCTGAGCCTTAAAAAGGAATTAAATTCAGGCACATATCACAACATGTATGAGCCTTGAACCCATTATGCTCAGTGAAATAAACCAGTCATGAAAGGACAAATATTGTATGATTCCACCTAGGTGAGGTTCTTAGAGTTGTCAAAATCATGGAGGCATAAAGTAGAGTGATGGGTGCCAGGGGCTGAGTGGAAGGGCCATGGGGAGTAAGTGTTTACTGGGTGCAGTTCAGTTTGGGGTGGCAAATTACAGTTTGGGAAGATGAAAAAGTTGTGGAGATGGATGGTGGTGATGATTACACACAATGTGACTGCACTTAATGACACTGAACTATATGCTCAACTAGGGTTAAAATGGCAACTTTCATACTACGTACATTTTACCACACAAAAAAATGAACCTTATCCAAAAATTGATGGGCTGCTATGGGTCTATGTTAAACTTACAATATCCTATCTTGCATCTTCATTCATATATTCTCTTACCAAAAATACCTCTCTTGCATGTAGCCAAATCATATTTATCCTGCAAGATTGTACCTGGGCTCTAGCTAGAAGCATCCAAACATGTGACGAGGACTATGACTGCCTCCATCCGAGCTCATCTGAGACCTGAGTCTCTCTCCAGGTTTCCATGGAGGGCTGTATGCAGACCCCTCTGGCTGAGAGTTCGCAGAGCCCAGCCCACACTCAGACTGCGGAACCTTCTACCATCGGGGGGCCCACAGCAGCCACTGCCACCCTGCATGCCCACAAGCCCAGCCCCTCCAGGCTCTAATTAACTGGATCACCAGAACCCAAGCTGCCAATCAGATTCTCTTTCCTGTATTTCCCTGAGACTAAGGACTATCAGTCGGTTGGGGTCTCTTGAACTGAAGACACATTCACTCGGGAGCCAGGTCTAGGCATGCATGTGCCGCGGGATGACAGCATTAACAGAGGAAGAAAGAAGGAAGTTGAGACACTCTGGATGGTGTGCGGATTCACCCGGAGGAAGAGACCGCTGAGGAGACAGGAAAGCAGACAGACACACTGACTGACTGGACGCCTGAGGCCTTCCTGCACCTGTGGAAATGCACTTGAATTCCGCGAGTCACCTGTTTCATTGTTTTTTGTCAAGCTACCTGTGTGATTTTCTTTTCGCCTGGAATTGCCACCAGAAGGTGCTGTGGCCAAGCTCTTCGCACCTCAGAATGCAAACATCCCAAACCAGAGCTTGGGAAGCTGCTCCTCTTTAGGATCCTCGTTTACGCCCGACAGTCACTTCAGGCACGTGGACGAGCCGCCTCCCTCTCCCCCGGCCTCTTCTGTCAACAAGATCCTTTCCTCTTTCAGCAGCTGAGCCGTTACCTGGACACTTAGTCCCCTTGAGGCCTGCTTCTGTTCTTCCTTTTCCAAACACTGCTAGTCAGCTGGTCAAGAGCAGGGTTCGTGCAGGCTCATCTCGGAAAACCGTGCGGTGGCCTAGCAGCACCACACACGAAGGAAGCCGCAAGCGCCCCACAGTGGGTAAGTGACTTAGAAAGCCAGAGAATCAACAGCTTCTGAGAAGCGACTGTGTGAAAGGCACGGGGCTGGCACCCTCAGGCAACGGTTCACCTCACTCCCACGAGGACGCAGATGCTGCCGGCCCCACACACGGGCAGAGGACACCAGTGCCCGTTTGCCTACTTTTCTTTAAGTAAACGTGCAGCAACTCAAGTACCTGACGCTGTCGTGCCCCCTTTACACATACGGATTCCTCTGGGTTCCCAGGCATGGGGCAGGCACTCTTCCTTTTCCCACTTCACAGGTAAAGAAACCGAGGCACACAGATGTGCCTAAGGTCACTGGGCAGACAAGTGGCTGCGCCTCGTCGATGATCTGATCGCAGCCACACAGCTGGAGCATGATGGTGAGAATGTGAACGCAGCCTGGCTCCAAAGGCCCTGCTTTGGCCATTTCAAGGCAACTGTTCCGCGGACCGTTTTCTGAGGTGACCTGGCCTGGTGTGCTGCCTTGGCATTTTTTAAAAAGAGGCAATAGCACAGTCAAATGAAATTAAGGAAACTAGTCCTAGAAAACACTAGGACAATGAGACACCTCACCTGAGCCCACACAGTGCCACGTATTACACGCCAGGCCGCCTAGCTCCCGACCGCCTGCCAACCACACTGGTGCCCCACGGTGTCCAACATCAAGTGCGCACTCAGCATACGCACATCAGAGGCGTGGCATCTAGCAGACAAGGCCACCAGGATGCAAGGAAGGAAGGAGATGTTCCTGCCACCATTTTCAGTTTAAAACTCTTAATACGAGCGGGCCTGCCTTTTCCCTTAAGGTCCAAGGGTAGTAACCAGCGGCAGAGGCTTCCGTGTAAACGGGGTTCCTATGAAACATGTGTGTCCAGGCAGGAGGATGCCAGAGGCATAAGGAGCCTCCAACGACGTCACTCTCTCACCAGCTGGGAGCCAGCCCTCTGCGGGATGGGCAAAGACACCAGGGTTCCGGGCATCAGCTTCGGCTCCCAAAGACGCACCTGAGCGCCCCCCTCCAAGTGCTGCGTGGGGCTCCCCTACCCACACCCACCAGCCGCCACTGCCGCACGCTCTGCTTCCAACAGAGGAGGACTGCTCTCCAGAGCCAAGTCAGGCTCACCTGTGCACTGCTGCTCCTGCAACCCTCTGGCCAGGCCACTGTCGAGTCAGGCTCCTCCATTTCCTGCGCAAAGAATCGCAGCCCGTGTCTGTTGCTCCACACGGATGTTTGGCAGAGAATTACAGCCACCGCCAAGCACTGACCATGTGCCGGGCATGGCACTGAGAGCATCACAGACACTATGACTGGCCTGCACAGTAACTCTTCAAGATAGGCATCATTTTCACCATCTTACAGGTCAAGAAATGAAGACAAAAAGGCTATGTTACCTAAGGCCACAGAGTTCAAAATAAGAGCCGAATGGGAATCAGAACCAGGTCTGCCTGACCTTAATGTCTCTACTTTTCACACCATCACATTGACTCTAAATTTTGCTCACGGTGGCAGAGGATGTGAATTCCTCTGAGGTTATATTCCTCATCACTTAAATTCACATCCACCACCTCCTGTGACACAGAACAGGCTCTGCACACAATTACACCCTCAAGGTCATTGCTCAAAGTGTATTTACATTGCTATTTTACTAATAGTTTTTATACTAAAAAAACAAATCTTACAACCGTAGATGATTCTTGCAACTTGCTGATGGCACAATGGGGGCTCACGGAACGGGAGACTTACCAGGAGGCTGGTCTCCCCCACCCCTCCCAACCGTGTGCCCTGGGTGGGCCGAAGGGGCTTGCATCCAGGATGGTGACTAGCTTCTCTCTACTCTACTCTATGAGATACTCTTAATGCATTTGATCTCACTTGATACTTAATCACATTATTTTTGAAATATGCTGTTAGCAGAAATAAGATTTGAAAAGGTTAAGAGACTGGCCTACATCAGCAAGCTGAGCCGGGACACCCCCCACCAGAGCCATGGTCCCTTCCCCCTCTGCTCGACACCCTGACCCTGAACGTCTGTGATCCCACTCGGGATGGAATGGCAAGGTCACTGAACACAGACTGGAATCAGGACAGGGAGTAAATCACTAACTTCCAGAAGAATGTCTTTTTTCCCAAATGCCCCCACCCCACAAAAGACTGGCCAAGAATTTATGATCCCTAAGGCAACAGGGAAATTGCTTGGAGGCCTTCCTGGATACATTCAAAGCATCTGAAAAGCAGACCTCCCTTCTCCCTGGCGAAAGGCTTCTTCGCGCTGACCCACCGATCCGCTCTCTTGCGCTTTGTTAGTGTCTCCACAGAACGAAAGGGAAAGTGCAACAAGGCCAGATGGTCCGGGTCCGGCAGACAGAGACCGCTTCTGTGCAATCAGCCAGCAGGCCTCCGTGCAATCAGCGCCCTCCTTCTACTATGTAAAGGAAACCTCTGGCTCAGGTTTGGCAGTGACTTAATCTATCTCAACAAAGTAAAAGAAATGGGTGATGGTTTGTGGGATGTAGATGTAGAAAGAAAAGACTGTTGGATGAGAGAGCATAAAAATCAAAGCACGAGCTCCTGGAGAGTGGGGACCGAACCGTGGATGCCTGCCCACCACCCTGCCCGCAGGGCCTCACTCGCAGGCACAGTCCAGAGTCTGCGGAGCAGCCCATCTGCTGCTTGCCCGCCGGCACCTGCTCCCTGTGCGGACTGTCTCCGGGGCCTGGGCGCCGGGGTGCCGGACAGCTGGCCGCGTGAAGGGCAGGTCATGCCCCTCACCCAGGATTCCCTGCATCAGATTCGGGGGTCCAATTAACAAACAATTTCTGAGCCACGGCTGGCCCCCAAACCAATCTGCTCTTCAGATCACTGCCCTTGCCCCTATATTCTTCTTTTCAATGACTCTCTGACCTTGTGTCAGAACCTCAAGCACACCAGCCTCTGCTCTCTTCCCCAGATCTCCCCCTTTCCTCTCCCCACCTGGTGCCTGACTCCGCCGCAAGCAGCAGTCTCCTATTCGCAGCAGGCTTGCTTTTGCCGCGGGTCTTGGCACGTGCTGCTGCTCTCAGCAGGTGGGCTTCACCTGTGTGGCCCTGTCTTGCCCCCAACACACACAGCACCGCCACGCCTCTCCTACCTGGTTGCCTCTCACCTAGCTTCCCTCCAAGACTCAGCTCAGCTCCCAGTTCTTACACTATGTGGGTTAATCGGTCTGTCTCCTCCAGCAGTCAGTAGGCCATCTGTAGTCAGGGACCAAAGCCCAACTCCTCTCTGTACCCCGAGCACTCAGACAATGCCTGGCATGGATGCTCAAACACAGACACTCAACGTGTGGTGGATTCATTCACTTGTTTTCAGGCCTCCATAACAGATGAAACTCCCAAGATGTGTACTGGAAAGAAAAACACCACGGATGGTCCTCCCACAGTGACCATCGTCTGTGATGCTCCTACAGCTCACACATCAAAAGCAGCAAAAGAATGATTCTGACAAGTCCATTTTCTCAAGAGGTGGATGGCCGCCTGGCCAGGCCCTTTTCTGCCAAGGCTGCAGAGACAGCACGTGAGAACACCCAGGAGTGCGCTTGCGGAGAGAGGACTTGTGTGACACCGAAGCAAAGTGCCTGACACTCAAGCAAAGCACTTGCATATTTTCCCTTATAGGGTTACAGTTAAGACTCCTCAGGCAAACTCTTCCAAATATTTCCACAGGCCTCTGCAGATCATCTAAATGGGCTGCCTAAAGGTTGATCTGAGAAATCTCAGAAAAAGCAGCACGGTTGGTTTTAAATATTGTGTGGTTGGAAAGTCTCCCTCAGCTAGACTGCATCTGAAATTCCTTAAAACTCCAGATGATCATCATTTGGATGACCAATGTCTCTGAGTAAAAGCCACTAACTCCTTTGATTCCCAATGCTCTGCTCTACAATGTGGGAATAATAACAGCTATGGGCCCAGAAAGACTGCTACGGAGACCCAAAGATGGCTATAAATAAAAGCCCCTGGCTTCAGAGACATTCATTTAATGCCAGTTTAATTTGAATCTGAAAAGAGAAAGTAAATAAGGCCTCTCCTTGCCCCTCTCCAGGGTCTGACTAGACGAAGACAAGCACAGCCCAGTGTCAGCACTGACTCTGAGAGCCGAATCTTTAAAAGATGTGCCAATAGCCCATGGAAAGTCTGCATTTCCAGAGGGGTAAGTATATACACATACATTCGGGGTCCTGGGACTCCCCCTCTCTGGATTACACAGCCAGCATGGGAATCCACAAAACACACTCCCAGACATTGTTATACTTCTTAAAAAGGCGGATTAACACACAGATGGATGAAGCGGCCCTAAAGGAAATTACCCTTCTGTGGTTTTTCAGAAAAAATCAATATTGTAGAAAATCTAGATATTTCAGAAAATATCCTTTCTATTTTTTTGTAGAAAGCAAAAAATAAAACTTAGAAGTGCACATGTCTATTATTAATCATAATAATGTATGTCACCTGACACCTCCACAGGAACCAGATTTCCTGATTTCTGAAGCCGGAAGGGGAAGACAACTGATTAAAAAACTAGGCTCTTAAAATAAAAACAAAAAAAAAAACTAAGCTCTTGTAAACACTATGTTGACAGCATAGTATTTCCATTTCATTTACATCAGTTCAATTCAATTCAGTAATAACAGGAACTAAATACTGACTTTGTTTAAGACATTGTAATCAAAATTTTAACGCAAGCCCTTGACAACCAGGACTTCACGACCTAGAGCAGCAGGTGAACATGTGGACTCACAAACCATGATTCTACGAAAGGGAGAGTCACAGGAGATCTTGAGAAAAAGTGGCATTGATTGGTTTCTATTTGGAAAGACTGACAGCAGCATTAAGGACGGACTGGTGTGCGGAGGCCGGAGCACGAAGAGGCACACCCCGTCAAGAGGATGTGAAGAATGACGACAATAGGTGGATGGAAAAGGAGAACGCCAATTTTGCTCTATTTATCATAGAATGTTTTAAATATTTACTTAAAAAAACCTCATTGCACAAGTACTTGGGTACCTAAGTGTTGGGTATACGATGACAAAAGGAAACAAACATGATCTCTATGTTCAAGTTAAAGACACACACACATAGTATGCAAATGAATAAAAACAGCCAGAAATCATGATGGATGTTATGAAGAAAGCATCCAGCCAACCAGTTTTACGTCAGATTTTCTAGCTTCAAATACCTGCCTTCATTTCAGAGGTCCTCTGCCCTTATGAATGGTTCTGTACTCACAACAGCCAAAGGGTGGAAGCAACCCATGTGTCCATCAGCAGAATGGATAAACAAAATGTGGTCCATCCACACAACAAATTATTGTTTGGCCTTAAAAAGGAGTGAAATCCTGACTCACGTGACGACATGGATGAACCCTGAAGACATTATACTAACTGAAACAGGCCAGTCACAAAAGGACAGATTCTGTGATTCCACGCATATGAGCTTCTTAGCACAAGTAAATTCACAGACAGAAAACAGGGGCTGGGGATGGGGTGTGGAGTTAGTGTTTAATAGACACGGAGTTCAGTTTGGGAAGACGGAAAAGTTCTGAGATGTATCAGGGTGGAGGAGTGGTTGCACAACAATGTCAATGTACTTAATGCTACTGAACTGTACTTCAAAAATGGTTAAAATGATACATTTTTATTTTATAAATACATTACCACAATCTGATTCTTATATACTGAGGTATAATTGACATATAATTTTATGTCAACCTTTTCAGAACACTCCTGGGCTCCTGCCTCTGACCCTGGCCCACGCTTTCTGAAATGAGTGTGCCCCAGCATCTCTACCAGTCAGGACTCCTCTGGGCACAGCTATGCCCTCCCAGCCCAACTCACTGGGGACTGAGTGTCCCCTGCCTGTTCTTAGGCTCCACATCTGTCTACTACTTGTCAGTTTCTCTCTAAAATAATAAGCTCCATACTAGCAAGGAACAATTTAAAAGTGAAAGAAAAGGAAAGACTAGTTCCATTTATAATAGCAGTAAAATATAGGAAATACTTAAGGATAAATTTAACAAAATATGTAAAAGACCTATAAACTGACAACTATTAAGTGCTACTGAGAAAATTTCATGAAGATCCAAATAAGAGGAGAGATACTGTATTCACAGATTGGGAGATTCTGTTCCACTCATGTAGTAATTCTTCCCCCAGATTCATCTAGAGATTCAACACAATCCCAATCAAGATCCCAGCAGCATTTGGGGGGAGGGGGATAGGAATTAACAAACTGATTCTAAAATATATGAATGAAATGAATGAGAACAGCCAAACAATGGGGAAAAGAAAACCCAGTGTGGGAGGACTTGAATCACCCAGTTTCAAGGCCACCTCAAGGCTGCAATCACCAAGCCAGTGTGGCACTGGTGTTAGGATGCATTCGTGAGGCGGAACAAAGTCCAGAAGAATACCCGCGTGTAATGGTGGGCAGTTCAGTGGAGGAAGACCAGGCTTTGGAACAAGGGCGTTGAACGAGTGGCTATCCCGTGGTATCACTCCATATACAAAAACTAACTCAAATGGATCAGAGACCTAAATACAGCAAGTGAAGCTGTAAAACGTCTAGATAAAAACCAGAATTATTTATGGCTGGAGTAGGCCAAGATGTCTTAGGATACCAAAAAGTACTAACATAAAAAAAAAATTAGAAGTTGAACTTTTTGAAAGAAACCATTAAGAAAACGGGAAGAAAACAGTTGCAATACCCATGTCTGACAAATCACTTATATCAATATGCTGAATGCTGAGGACATACAAGACAACTTAACAAAAAAATGGGCAAAGGAGTCACAAATGTTTCACACACACAAAAAGACAAAACAGCCAATAAGCATATTAAAAAATGTTAATACCATTATTTATCAGGTTAACGCAAATTAAAAACACAATGACATACCCCTATACATCCACTGGAAAGACAAGAATTTAAAGGACAGGTAATACCAAAATTTGGGAAAATGGTAGAGCTAGCAGAAACTGCTATTTTCCTGGTGGGAATCTACATGGTAGACTGTTTAGAGAACAGTTTGGCAGTTTCTTATAAAGCTAAACATATATTTACCATGTGATTCAGCAATCCCACTCCTTGGTATTATCCAATATTGTATTTATGCCTCATGTCCACACAAAAATATTATCAGCTTCACTTATAACAGTCAAAAACCACACACAACTAAACGACCATTAACAAATATACAGATGGACAAATTATGATGTATTCATACAATGGAATATTCCTTAGCAGTTATAAAAACCCAAGCTATCCATATGAATAACTAAGATGAATCACAAAAAAGCTACGGGAAAGCAGCTTGACACAGAAGCAGGCATGCTGCGTGAGTCCACGCTCATGCAGTCCTAGAACAGGCACACCAGAGGCGCCGTGGCAGGAAGCTGGTCAGTGGCTGCCTTGGTCCGAGCAGTGGATGGACGTGCTCTCGTCGTCACTGGACTGGGACGCCATGGCTTGACGCTAGCAAACACATTAGAGGTACAGAATTCAGAGTCAGAGAAAAAACCCTGACTAGTCAAGGGGAAGAAAAATCAAACAGGAAACACTGCATGTTTTATCTGACACTACTAGGTAAACGGAATTTTAAGAAAATCAAAATGGAATTTTAAGAAAAGATTTTGGCACACAACAGCAATAAACAGGAAATAAAAGCATCGAACTGGCTCTGTACATCAGGGGCTAACTCTGTTTTCATAAGGAAGAAAGCAGGGTCCCTAATCTCATGCACAGAGAATCAGAAAGTCCTACTGAACTGAGTTCTCCTTATTAGCATAAAGCTGGGCTGCATCTCTACTCATGAATGGGTTTTCTTCTCACCAAAGGAAGGAATAAAAGCAAAAAAAAATGAAAGAAGTCTGAACCTATAAACTTGGGCTCATCCAAATGACAACAGGCTTTCTTCTGTCACGGCTGAGGCCTGGGAGTTCAGAGAGGCCCCCGGCCCATGTGGCAGGAGCACAGGAGCACAGCTCAGCCAGCATGGCTGTTTCCATTCATGGCAGAAAAGAATAGCTGAAGCACAAAGCGCCTGCCATGGGCCAGGCCCAGGGAGACCGCCCGCTGTATGAGGAGCGCCGCCACAAGGAGTTGGCAGTCCCTGCCCACCAAGCACAGAGAGGCTGCACAGCCCCTGGACCTGCGAGACCAAGAAGGGAGTGAGGAACCAGGCAAAGTGCAAAGTGCAAGAGCACTGCACTCAGCGGGTCCCGGGCAGCAAGGCGCTACAGCAACCCACTGCCAGCCCATCTGTCACCTGACTGCGCTCTCTCTGCCACAAGGCTTCTAGAGTCAGGAAACCTTAGGAAGTATGTTATCTAACATTCTGCTTTAAGAAGTGAGGATGCTGCCACATGGGAGGGGCATGGCCTTTGAGGCCACGAGTCCAGCTGAGGCACAGAAAGGACAGCCATGCCAGTCCACCTGCCCGGCAGGAGCTCTTGTGTGACCCCACACTGCTCAGAGCC